CTCATGAATAATGCAGCAGAGGTGAATGCATATAGAAGACTTCATTGTTTTAACATATATCATTATGTACGTAATACTGGTTAGTTTGCGCAAAAAAGAATAACAGGCATTTCCACTAAAACTATCCAGTGTTTTTGCAGTATGGTTGTAAAAACCCAATAGTCTGTAATGTGCATATTTTCCCCAAAGTATACTTTATCCTTGGGGAGCAGTGGAGCAAGAAATATTTATTTTATCTTTTGCTAGAAAGTTTTATATCAAATGTTTGCTCTGTCAGCACTCGTGTCATTGGAAAGATGTGCCTGAGAAAGGGTGTGGTCCAAAGTGGGAGCCAGGTTCTGCTCTCAGCTCTGTAGCAACTTGATGTGTGGGATTGGAGTCAATCATCTGATTTCTGTACCTCCACTTCCACAGCGGTGTACACTTTTCACATTTTGAAAATTGCTTTCAGTCTTTATAGTGCTTTTATAAAGCACTATTACCTGAATTGATTGTTGCTACTCTCCTGATTACTTGTGTATCTGAGCACTAAACTACCTCCTACAGCTAATTTTACCACTGCTTAGAGGTGTAATGATTCATGTTTCTACAGACAGGGGCAGAAGATATCGAAGCACTTGCCTAAGGTCACATGAGAAGGCTGTGGCAGAAGAGGGACTCCTGTGTCCAAGTTGGTGACAAATCACTGTGCCATCCTTCTAGATATTCCTGATAGTTTTGAGTATACTAATGTATTTGATCAAGTACCTGCAATGGCTAGGACCACATTTTATGACTTTTCCAGGCAAGCGGGGTGCAACATCCACATTCATTCAGCTTGTGAATCCCATTACCATCACCCAAGCTTTTATTAGTTCAAGAGCAAACTGCTGGAAAATGCTCTACATAGGGCTACTTTGAAACCATGAAAATAATCGAAGTAAGGTATACCTGCACTTAAAGTTATTAATAGAGACTTGAAGTTGTGCAATGGAATTAATTTAAGATTTATTTGAGTGTGACTAAACTGAAAGAAACAAAATACTTTAATTTATATGCATATATAGCTCATTACTGAAATTAACAGGCATCAGTCACTCTAATACTGTATCATGCAACAGATGTCGTAAATGCTGATCTATTTTCTCCCTTAGTTAGCCAAATATCTGTTTTATTCCATAATTCTGCTCAGTTTTGAATTAATGGTGACTTTTTTAGGGATGAAGGTGGGACAGTATAATACTTCTTGATTTTTCCAACTTGATGAAAATCAGTGAAACTGAAAGGAAATTCCTTCATACCATTGTTAATGCTCACAGTTTCATTGTGTGAATTTGCCTGTATGAAAAATTAGCTGAAGAAAATATAAACTAATTTTAATTTCTGAAAAATGTCCATACTCTAAGACTCAAATTCAGAGCTGATGTCTAAGATCTCCAAAGTATGGTGTGGTAGTAAAATGAAAGAAGTGCTCAAAAATTTGGAAAACATCTTTTTTTTCTCTTGAGTAAAGGATACCAAGAAAGCTATTTTCAAAAGAATAATAGTCATATTACTGTTACTGAAGAAAGCGTCCTTCTGCCAGCCACACCATTATCTCAGCGGGGCTTTGCACTAGAAAAATGTCATTAGCTACAACACCAGGCTCCACAAGAATTAGTCATGTCATGTTTTAGAGGACAAGAATACAATATTTGTGATAACCTCGTTGCACAGAGGAAATGGCAGTGTCTGATCCTGGTGATATTTTAGACGTTGGAGATGCCATGGTCACGGTGAGCTGTAATTCTTCTCAGAATAAGTGGTGACCCTGTGGTGTTCAATTTTCGCCAAAAGGGAGAAAAAGCACATACAGAACCTAAAAAAAGTGTGATGAACAAAATAAGCCAAAAATTTTGACAGTGCGAGATTAAAAACACCTGAGGAAAACACCTGAGGAGAATGACTACTGTAGTAATGTGGCAGTGAACTTAGCCTGACCGTTCACTGTTTATCAGGGCTGTGATGTTAACGTGACTTCTGCATGGTTGATCTGTTGTTGATGGGACTGTTGCTTAAAGCATCTTAGTTTTAGTCAGCTGAATTTGGTATTGGTCTCAACTGCAAAGGTATCCCTTTTATTATCCTTTCCTAACATCCCAAGGGAGGAACTTCCCCGGTTTTTGAATCTACAATGTTGTGAGTATGCTTGAATGATCAAGTTGTCTCACCTTAGTGAATTAACCCTTTCCAGAAGACCATAGTGGCTGCAAGCCTAGCTCATTTCAAATGTAGGTTCTGTTGTGTTTACATACTTCCACGGTCACTTAAAATTATCTTCCTTTTTTCTTGCACAAAACATGTTGCAATCATTGTACCTTGATTTAAGAAAGGCTTATGGGATAGTGAACTGTAGAAAGAAAATACCCTTTTTTCTTAATGAAGATCTGAAAGTGTAACAAACATCCCACTTTCTATTCATTAAATATAAGAATTGAGAAAATGTGATGAATTGTTGTGGTTGTGTTTTTTAACCACTTATTTGCCTTACTAATAATCCATCTTAAATTCCATGGTCTAATGCTTCATTTAGTAATTTATTTCTTACGGAAGTCCAATTTACAATTAAATCCAATTAAAAAAAAGTTGTTCTAGTCATTCAGAGCAATAAAGACCATTAAGGAAGGAAGTACAGAGAAGTAGAATAGAAGTTATATGGACAATAAAAAATGTCCTTCTCATAGCTAAAAATAAATGCTTAATCTTAGTTTTATAAAACCAAAATAATTCATCAAACTGATGTATTTCAAAACCAGACAGGCTTCAGGAAAACAATATAGTCAAGCCTTGTCGAAATGTGGCTTGTCTGAAATTTAGATAATTACAGACTGGTTCAACAGTTTTCCAGTTGTTGTTGGGAACTGGCCTCAGCTGAGTGACTGCAAGGTAAAGAACAAACTCAAACTAAGCTTTCTTTAAGGAACATGTTTCTTAAAAAATGGTAAAATAAACAGGAAACATCAGAAGGTTTGAAAGCAAGGGAGTGACACAGACACCACCAGCATGCTAGAGGGAAAAACTGCTGAATTTTCCCTATCAAAGAAATGAATGACATTAACACATCGTTTTGAACCTTTTCAATGCTGTATTGAATTCCTACTTAAACTTAAGGATCAGCTTAAAGATTCCAGCTATTAAGCTCTCAAATCCTCTGTTCAGGGTCATGCACTTAGGAGGGATGACCTGTGGGAACAAGATTTAAATTGACGTAAGTCTGTGTGGAAGGTGGCTTTGCTAAACTGACCACCTTGTCCATCATCGCACCAGTACTGACCAGCAGGAACTACAAGACAGTGCCCCAATGGTAAAATCTGTGGGCAGAGACCCCAGCTGCAGGTCATTGAGGGACAATCTTGCTTCTCAAACATCTGGGTAACCCTAACTCTTGCATGATTCCGCACAAAATTTGTTTTCCAATTTCCAAGCAGCTTATAAATCCTTTGCAATGTTATGCATTTTCATTTTAGTATCCAAATCCTAAAACTGCTATATTCAGAATTACCATCTTTGCTAAAGACTAGAGTCTGCTGCTTTCAGCTCTGTCAGCTCTGGATTTGATTTGGTCTCCAGCAATTACCAGGAAGGTGGTTGCTATAGCTGCACTAATGAAAGGAGCAAACATGTTTCCTTGAAGACAATGTAAGCAAGCATAAATTAAAAAATATTTAAATACATTATGAGTGGCATTAATAGTGTAAATAAGATATTACTGGAACAGGGAAAATAAGATTTTAGCCTTTTTCAGTGGCTTGATGTATACCAAACTTGCAACTTCCTACTCAGTGCTTGGCTTGAGCTGATACAAATTTTTTGACAGATATTTAAAGCATTATTAGTTTTATAGGATTTTCTTCATCATGACCTGAATCACATTTGTATTTGTTCATGTTACCACATTTTTCCAGTGACAGCCTGTCTCCATAATTTTGCTGATTCCTGTTAGGCTAATAACAGGCACATAGATGGAGGTACGTGACCAAAGCCAGGAATGTAAGAAAGTTTTAATTTAAAAAAAAACCTGTTAAGTTGCACTGAACTTTGTCGACTCCGGTTCACTGAGTTTAGCTTTAAGTGTGATTCTTTTCTGACAAGTGACTGTATAAACTGTATCACACATTTTCATGGTTGTGTTTCAGTGGCTCCATATCAATTTTGTTCAGGATATTGTTGGATTTTTTTTAAGCCACCAGTCCTACCAATGAACCAGATATTTGAAGGTCATGCTGTGTTCAGTCTCATGCAACACCAACAATAATGACATTTCTGAGAAATGAAATCTCTCACTCACCTTCACAGCAAACCACTTCAGTGTCTAGGGCAGACTGTGCTGTCAGATTTTCATGAAGCGGGAGTAAATCCATTCTACTGCCAAGCTAAAATGAAATCTCCCAAAACAAACTTATGCTACATCTATGAAATAGTCTTACAATATTAGCATTGTGTATTGTATTAAGGTGGCAAAGCTCAGAGGGGCTGATCCTGCTAGCTCATCATGGGACAAGCTTCCATCACTGTAACAGAATATGGGAATTATCCTGCAGGATGATTACTGTAACAATACTATCCTTATATTACTACGTACCTGTAAGCAGACAGTGTTACTTACCTGAATTATTCAGTACCCTTTTAATAGATCTTAATCTTTCTGGAAAATGCTGAGCAGTTTTTGCTAACGGCTGCGTAATGCTAACTTACTCTCTTGTTACTTGGTTAGGGCAGAGGTATGTTTCTTTTTGGAGATATTGGGCACTGGAGGCATTGGACCAAGACGGGTTGATGAATAAAATTAATGGAGCGTATTTTAAAGCAAAACTCCTCTTTGCTAGATATTAAATATGTTTGGTGTTTTAAGAGAAAAAGTAAATACCACATGGTAAAATGACATTACTTGGAAACATTGTCATTACTTCTCTTATCTGATTTCTGATTCTGACTTAACACTCTAGAAACTATTTTCCTTTTCTCTCTCCTTTATTTTGCAGTTAACTTTGACCACTTTCAAATATTGCGGGCTATTGGGAAAGGGAGTTTTGGAAAGGTAAGAATCAATTTATTTTTAGCAGTTAAAAATCTAATAGAGAATTCCTTTGTGTATTTCTGATGTGACTTGATTAGACTAGGATAAAGAAACATAGGTTTTGTAGCCTTCTGCTTCTTAAAGACATCTGATCATCAGTATGAACTGACTCTGACTATTAATTGAATTATTTCTATTACAATATATTCACTAAAATTAATTGAGTAAAAATGATTATAATAATTACATCTCCTCAGTGGGGATTAACATAATTTAGAAATCAGTCCCCAAAACAAAAACAAACAAAAAAGTAGGAGCAGACTACTTTTTTAGACAGTCCACTAGAGCGATCTTGTTCTTAAATCTCTGGACTTATTTGTGTCTTTAAAATAATTGCAGTATTTTAAAGGCACTTTACATAGATTCAATACATTTGGGACTGTATAAACTGACATACACTGTAATTATGATCATTGAGTAAATGTTTGTTCAATTCAACAGGCTTTTGCTGAAACAGAGAAGATTAATGGTTTGTTTACACATGAATAGACAACCTTTCTTTCCTATAATAAAGACTATAACAAGGTTTTAAATTTTAATATGGGTAAATACAAGGCCACACAGTCAGAGAAAATCATGTTATAAAAATATTAGAAACTGTTACTCGTAGGAATAAATTTGAAGGTGAAATATAACTCCAGTAACTGATCAAGCAATAGCTATCTAGATCTTGATTTAAATGATTTTTGAATATATGCCAGCTGGGTGCTGGTGAGCTACTTCTGTAGTTACGCATTAAGCACATACACAGGATGTTGGTGGCTTTTGACCTTCCATGCAGAAAAATGACTTTCATTTTACAGAGGCCTGAAATACTTCTCACAGAACAGCATGGTCCTTCACGGCATGGTCCTTATTCAGCTGAGTAGTTTCCAAGAGAAGCCCTCTTTGAGGTCAATAGGACAATATGTTGCTAGCAGAAAATGGTATTCAAGAATCCCTTAAAAATCGGGGTGGCTGGAGATCTATGATTGTTTATTATCACAGTAATAACTGATGGAATATCATGTCAAACTACATAGAGGTCCAGGAGTGCAAGTTAGTTCCAGGATAAGCAGTTAAAAATATATCCAAATCATGCTGGCCATCACAAAGATCACCTGCATCCCTCTTTCTTCAGAGCTTCCCCATTCACACCTCTACTGTTTCTGCCCTTTCAAAGGGGCCCTCACCCTTCCACGTCATGCAGGAAAATAATACAAGCCTACAGGCTTTTTGAAGGCATGTTGGTTGTTGTTTGATGCACTCTTCTCCATGGCATTCAGGAAACTGGTGAATGTTTCTATGATATTTCTAGAAGCATCTGATTTTCTTACAGGCTCATATAGCTGCAGTGTTCTTGTGAACCTGCTTTGGTGATATGTATGGGTGAGAATAGAGTTTTACAACTCTGAGAGAACATGTTTAATGCAAGAAAGGACTCAGTCCCCTCTAAACTTAAATCCTTATTTTGCAGCTGTCAATGCAACAGAAGAGTCCTTGGCGTAATAGGCTTATTTTTACCAGATGAATGCAAGGCTCTGACCAATCATCTTGTTTTTTTCTTCCACAGACAGGGAAAGAAAGAAAACCATTTTAAAATTACCTATTATACCATAGCCAAAAGCACAACATGGTAAATCAGTCATCATTTCAAGTGTCTTTCTCTGTGAGTCAGTCTTGCCTTTATCATTCATTTAGAAGCCTCGTTGCTGGCAACTTTTCCTATTACTGTGCTTCTGGAAGTACCTAGCAGCAGAAAACATCACCAAATGATGCAAGACCTCTAATCTCTATTGACTAGCTGTTTACTGTTTGGGGTCTATTGTGCTCTAGCATACTGCCACAACTAACACCATGTTTGGTATCACACCTTCCTTAAACTGCCTTCCTTTATGGCTGCTCTGTGGCCTTTTTTGTTTTCTGAGAGCAGTAGGATGTTTTAAGACATGCTTTACTTTTTTATTTTATTGCTGTTGGTACAATCTCTCTCTCAGTATTTCTTAAATTACTGTGGTTGCTACAGCAACCTTAGGCCTCTGCAGGATATTGCTGCAGGAGGTAGCTGATATGGCAGAGACTCCATGCAGCTCAGCTCGCTCTTGTGCACAGAGCTCAAGGTGATCCTCAGCACCTCACCTTCTCCATCGGGTCTGACTGCTTCAGCAGCTACGCTTTGTCCCTCCCAGCTGACTTCAGAAAGCAGCTCCCTGCCTTTTCCTTTGGCATTTTCAATTCACAGAGGCAACATTTGCTGTTACAGGAATTCCTAGGCCATTTGGTATCAAATGTTTGGTATCTCAAGAGTTTGTCTTTTCTGAGAAGTGGCCACCTGTTTTAAGCGACTGCTTCAGTACACGCTGTTTCTTAGGGACATGTTAAGAACAGGTGCAGTCTTGTATGCACTGTAGCGTCTTCCCCAGAAAAAGTGAAGATGCATCACAGCAGTTGTGAGGAGTGTAGGAAATGGGTGTGGAGAGAAGAGAAACAAGGAGCATGCTCATGTTTCCAGAACACCAGGCTTGCTTCTCTCTGCTTGGAAAGGCATCCTTTCAGAGCTCAGGTTGCACCCTGGTAAGGGACAGATGAAGAAGGTGAGCTCTGAGCCTGCATAAGACCATTGCAGCCACAGCTTCTGTGCAAGTCAACAGTTCTTTTGTTCAAGCCAAGTGACATGCAAACTATGGCAGACCGCTGTATGACCACTCACTGGATACCTGTCCCCACTCTTGGGCACATGTATACATACCCGGTGTATGTATCTGTACATACAGACACTGGTAGAGACCTGTGAGCTGCTGCAAGGGTGACAGTGGTACTCAAATGAGGTAAGTGGCACTCCTCCAAAGGCAGCCTTCATGGCTTCGGTGACCTTGCTTTGCTAGGTAGATGAAAGTAGCTTTTTGCTTATGCTTTGGTGTCCTCATATGCAACAGGAAACATTGGTTTATTTTTTTAAAAACCATTAAGCTAGTTATGCTTGGCATGTTCCAGCTATTCGTATTTCCAAATACATTTGAAGTGGGCCAGGTCAGAAATTTTGTCCAAACAGCTTTTATTCATATATTAAATATTTCCCTTCTAAGTCAATTCAGAAGTAGACACTTTAAAATACTCAAACCAAAAATGCTGAACACTGGTCTAAGTATTTATTTCTTTATGCCATGTGATACCTTAAAAATGCTCTCTCATGTTTAATTTGGTTAAATTTTTCCATTCTGCTATATCTAGAGCCATCATTCTTATCAAACAAAATATTGCAAAAAATGATATATTTGAAGATCATCCAATAAGTACAAAACTGACTAGGAGTGAAATAAGAGAATTATCGTTGTTCTTTACTGCAACAGTAATCATATAATTGCAGGCTTACTGCCACAAAATAATTTGTATTCACGTGAAATGACTAGTTTTCAGAAATATTATAGTACCAATTTTCTTCAAGTTCTTTGTTCATGGGAGCAGGTATATTGAATAATCTGACCTCCTTAAATTAAATTCAAATTATGATATGAATGTACAAATTTTCTCTTATTTGTCTAAGATGCTGAGACACAGGACTTAGCTCTGATTAATTTGGTTGTATAAAACAGTGACTTCCTCTGCTGAAGTAATTGAAATTATACTGGTGTAAAACAGATGGGAGCCCAGAATCACGTCTGCACTGATCGAGGGTACTTTACTAAATAATATGCAAAGTATTTCAGAAAAAATATGCTGCTATCCTGAAAGGAACATAATGCACAACTGCAGAATATTAATATTGTTTGACAGTATAAACACCTATTTTTTTAGCTTGAGTTAATATGAAAAGAGACTAACCATATGCTTGGTCCCTGCTCCAGCTGTCGTGGTTTGCTCAGGGGAATCTGGGAATGAATCCCCCTATTTCAAGGAAATTCCCTGGCAGTGTAAAGCCAAACTTATGACATCCATTCTCCAGCCTCTTTGTGTAAATCTTTCCAACTCTTCTTGTAAGCTGAAAGTATAAGCATTAATTTTTCAGAGTATGTGGGTAAGAACAGATAAGGTAGCAGTATTTCAGGCACATGCTTCATAGCAGATTTGTCAGTTCCCACACTGAGTGTGAAACACATAGCTGACCTCTGTCTTGTAGTCCCCTATGTCTAGGTGAGCGTCTTCTGGCAATGCAGTGCCACAGACCCTCTCCTGGGCTGTGATTACTCATGGCAGCTATAGGTGCCCCATCTGATCTAGTGACCTGACATACTTGATGCATAAGATTGTGACACAGGAGCAAGGCTGAGGTGTACACTCCAGCTGCCAGCTCTCCACTGTCAGGGACCTTGCACAGAGGAGCTTTCTCTGACTGCAGTTTTGCATCTCTCCTTTTTTATGACCTGTCATGAAACCATATCATGTGGTAGTTTGAGAAGTCTAAGTACTTAACGTACCAAACTCAGACCAAAATGGCTTTATTGAGACTAAGTGCTCCCGCTCCCTGCTGTTCTCTCTGGACCAAGCACATGGCAGCTAGAAGTCTTTTGAAGTTAGTGGGAGACAGGAGAAGTCTGTGTTTTGCAGCAAGTCAAACTTTTCAGCCATCCCCATCTTTTGTTCTGAGAAGAGCTTCTCTGAAGCTACCTATGGCTTCTCAGCCGACACAGCATTATGCAGCTTTCTACAGCAAACCATTAGCAAATTCTGCCCCAGTTTTACTCAGCATAGCTGTCTTGCTTCACTTACCTAGGTCTGCAATAGTCCATAGGGCACTTTGTCACCCAGAGCAGTCTTAGTGGCTGTGTGACCTATTAATCTGCAGATCAAACTCAATCTGTAGGTGCTCTATTTTTTGCATGTGAAATCAGAGGAAATACAAGGAGGTAGCTTAGAAGTGGACCATAGCATATGTTGCTCCTGAAAAATGAAGTTTAGCCCTGCAGTCAAAATCTATTGGTTTTCTTCCCCTGGTTCTGAGGGAAAGTGTCTCCAAGTCACACTCTGGTCAAATTTCTTTTAAC